GTGTTGAAGCTGGGAGCTATGTTGCAAGGGGGTGAGGAGGAAGTAAGTAATGAAGCAATGGAAACCATGGACCTAGACCATGCTTTTGGTAAGTTGTGTTAGTAGTAAAGGCCAAAAAAGTGAGGCAGCCAGTAGAGTTAGCTAGATCAAACAAGTATATTTTTAAGTATTGAGGGAGAGTCGGAATTGACTTTTTCCTCCTCTGGGCTGCTTCAGACCTTTGCTTGTTTCCTCCACTCCAGTTCTCAGGATTCCACATCCTGCCTGGTATCAAAGAGCCCGCCTTTGCCTTCTGACTATATGGGGACTCTGGGGATACAAGAATTGTCTTACATCTGTGCTCAGATCACAGGTCTGGGGAGTATTTTACAGAGAGACTCAATCTAAAGTTTCTGGATTGAGTTAAAATGAGGAGAGAATAATTAGCAGATAAGGTAATTGAAACTATTAGAGAAGAATGGAAAGGGATGGGAACAGAATTCCCTTAAGATTTAAGATGTGTAAAATATAGTTCTGTGGGCCGTTTGGCAGTCTCAGAGGAAAATATGATGGAACAATTTGGTTCACTGAATATCGCAAAATTGACTTATAAGTTTAATGATTATTTTTATGGAAATCATTTCATTCTTAATAATCATAATATTTTCATTGGTTGCACATGCACTAAAGGACTATGTTAGTCAGTTGATTCATGCACTAACAGCCAGAAAATAGTATGGTTTATGGCATATCTTCATATCATTTGTATGATATCTGATAAATTTGTATTTTTGTTACTATTTGCGCTACCCTCTATGCTCAATTCATAAAAATGGATCATTGGTTCACAAGTGATTCTCTGAAATATGCATACATTTGGACAATGAAAGTGTCTCAGAAGAACTTTGCAAACCTAATAAAAAACATGTTATACTGCAAATGTGGAATGTAAATCTGTGTGTACTGGGACAAGTAAATCTGAGAATGAGGACTTCGTGTGGCAGCCCAAAAATGGAAAAGGCAAATTGGGTGCATGATGATGAATATCAGAACATTTATTTTTAGTAGACTAAGAATCCATTTACCCCAAATTCCCTATAATATATATATATTTTTGCTATAAAATTTGGATAAATTGTAACATGACATTCCTATCACAACAAAATGATTTTTTTTTGTAAGCCAATCAAGTTTTTCTAGAATAAATACAAAATGATGCTTCCAGTATGTTATACTGGATAATATTGCCAATGAAATCAGAGAAGAAAACAAAGCAGAGATGTGTTCAAATTTGTACTCCTAGTCAAAACTTACAATTCATACTATTGCTGAAACACCTTTAAAAATAGCTATAAAGCCAGTGACAAAGACATTAGAAAAGAAAGCAGAATGCAGCATCACCAACATTCCTCGTTTAGATGATACTGTTGGATCTCAGACTGTAGTGTGCATCACTTGAACGCTGGGGCTCGCAATTTCTGGTTCAATAGATCTGGGGTGGAGCCCACAGGATTGTATTTCTAACTGGCTTCCAGATGCTGCTGCTGGTGTTTGAGGAAAGCACTTTGAGAACTACCTGTGCAGATGCCAAGGTACTAAAAGATGTGTGTGCTGGCAGATATTTTCCTTGACAGTATAGCTGGACAAAACCAGTTAAGCGCAGAATATGAAGCAGTTGTCTGTGCCATGCATGAGTGAGGGTAACGTGCTCAATGACTCATCATTGGAAAATCCATGCTAACGAGAAAAAGGATTTTTTTTTTTCTCGCATAGTTAATTGCATCAGCTCTGATATAGACTGGGAAAAGGACACTGAGATTGCTACTGAGGAAGTGCCAGCCACAAATGGGCAGGCAAGGACTTTGTAACAATGGTCGCACCTAAATGCCCTCGCATACTCTGCTTTATTTACAGAGGACGGCTGGTGATCATTATAAGCCCTTTGTTCTCGATTCACAGCTGAGAGAAATAGAGAAAATTGTGACCACAATAAAGTATAATTGAGTGTATGTATTTCATGTGCTATGCAAAGAAATGGACAGCAAATTTTAAAAAACAGATATAATTGACATAACATTGTATTCATTTTAATTGTACAACTAATGATTTCATATGTGTATATATTGCAAAATGATTACCAAAATAAGTTTAACATCCATCACCACATGTAGCTATAATTTTTTTTCTTCTTGTGATGAGAAATTTTAAGATTTACTTTCTTAGAGGCAGCAAATTTAAGACTCCCCCCCCACCCTTGCTGAAGGCTGTTGTTATTGATGAGGAAGGTGCTCAAAAAGTTTCTGGAATGAAGGATGAGTTAAAAAAAAACAAACATTTATTTACAACATTAATGAGTACAGACCATTTCTGGGATTTCAAGTAGCTTAGCTCAGCAGAATGCTCAATGTCTATCTAATCTGAATCAGATGAAATGGGGAATGAATTGCTTGATCTCTAATAGTTTGATGCTTTGGAAATTTGATGACACCCTTCCTTTATTTGAGAAATAAATTAATGATGTATCATTGGACATGTTTTAAAACCACACACATATGCTCTCACTGAACACACAAGAGTGATTTCCAGAGCTCCATACAACTCTATAGAGGATCTGGATTTCACTTGGCACAATCTCCAAGGCTGAAACAATTCATACACTAGCCCTTTCTTCTAAAGGCTTGTTCATTTAGCATCAAACAGACTATGAAAAGTACCAAGACTCATTTCTTAGTGAAAAATTTCTCCATAATTTCCGGATCTACATGTAAGCCAAATATTTAGAACCATTTGACAGAATTATCAAATATTCACTTTCATTCCTGGCAACCTCTAACTGGAATCTAGGATCTTCCAGTTTTGTGGAAATACATAATAGAAAAGAAACGAGCTGGATGTGGATTCTGATATATGGCATGAGCTGGATATATTGATATTTTAGTGAAAAACTGCAAATGATAATGCCCCTCATTGATTTGAAACTGTTTGTCATTTTGCTAATTTGATTTATTTAAACATTTGTGATTAATCTGTTTTTTAAAAGCATACCAGATAGGTGTTCTGTATGTGTTCCAAATGGCTATTAAGTGGTCATTTACAGACTGTTATCACCATTAGCTTCAGAGATTTTTTTTCAAAGGTTTGACTCTACTGCTGCTTTGTAATACAACATTAGCACCACCACGTGGCAAGAAGGAACATTTCCTCTTTTTCTATGGTGAAAAGGAGACTTGATCCTATTGAATTTAATCTAAAATTACTAAACTTTTGCCTAGTATATTTTAGGAAAAGCAGAATATAATTTTCAGAGATAAAAACTCCATTAGATTGGCTTTTATTGAGCACTTGATGGATGCTAGGCTTGTGCTAAGCCCTTTACATGTTATTTCATTCCTTCTTGACGCTACCCTGTGCACCACTGTTACCCTTCTTTACAGATGTAGAGAAGTGTTCAGAAAAGTAGCCCAAGTGCTTTCTAAAAGTGAAAATCAAGAAAATATAGACATAAATATATAACTATATCTACTGTGCTTCCTACACCCTTAAGATGAGCTGAGCAGCCCAATTTTCAAATATGAGCACAAGGCACATTTCTGTCTCTGGGGCATCATTTTATTATGGAAAGAAAGTCTTACTTCAGGCTTTTCTCTGTGGACTTCATCTAGTTGGCTTTTTGTCTGGCAGCTCAAAAAGCTAAGAGTGAAGAGGAGTGAGCTCTAGCATTTATTTATTCCTGTAGAAACAAATTCAGAAGTCTGAATTACTTGGAAGTCTGAATGATCAGACTAATTACTCAGAAGTCTGAATGATCAGTCTAAAGATTTTAAGGTTGTTAACCTGCCTCATGGTCATATGACCTGGAGGTTCACAAAGGACAGGGAAATATATTTTTAATTGAAGAACAGAAGTTTGTTACTTGAATTTGGAATCATAAATCTAAACTAGGTCTTGTTAATGTTGTACACATTTTACTATGAGGGATTTACAAATTTACAACTTAACTCATATACCCTGAGATTCTACCAACTAAATATTTGCTTATGTTTTAGTAAACATTAAACAATAGCTCATAGCTCTGCTAGAGGCATCAGGCTTTTATACCTTAATATTAATCAGTAAAGTAAGATCCATTTTCCACTCAGCATTTAGTGATGATCACTTTAGGGAATGAGGGGTTTGATGAGGAGTAAAGGAAGCAAATGCTTTGGAGCGTGAAGCACTTTGGCTGAGACAGGTCTGAGTGAGCCCTCCCTGATGCAGGGAGGCATGATCCCACGTACCAGAACTCAGGGCAATATAGTACATCAGCTACATTACAGATTAAGTCAAAGTTAGTGGGCTAGTCTAGGAATTTAATATTTATAATATTGTCAAGGTCTCTTGGAGCTATGACTTTCCATGATTCAGTGACGTTGTTTCCATGTGTTCTGAGTTTTAAACAACAAAATTACAAACAAACTTTTGTAACCTAATCTACTTAAGTAGTTGGTACTAAGAAATGCTTATCAATGACACATTTGTCAGAAATGACACATTTCCTATGAGTCAGATTCCAATCTAAGTGCTTTAAATGTTAACTCATTTAATCCTTATAGGAAGATACTGATATTATCTAGTTTTGTGGATGAAGCAGCTGAGGCACAGAGGTTAATATCTTGCCAGGGTTACACATTTGATAAGAAGTTGTACTAGGATTTGAATCTAGGAAACCTGGCTCCGGAGGTTATGCCTCTTAATCATTGTCCAAATAGTCTGTAATTGCCACTTATAAGTTTTACAGTTTTTTAAAAAGTACTTTAAACATTGTTTTCTCATTTATGCCTTAAAAATTACTGTGAGGTAAGTTTTAGGAGCTGAGAGGGAAGAAAAATGGAAAGTAGAAACAGCTTAATGGAAGTTCAGTTGAGGAATTCAATGAAGCTAAAGACTCTAGAATTAGAACGATATTTATAATGGACTTTGATGAAATTTAGAAAATTAGATGTACATATTATGAATAATATTTACAAGTTTACTGTTCAACTACTTTCTTTTTTTAATTTTTAATTTCAGCCCAGTATTCTTGGAGGGAGGGATGAGTTTTTCAGTTGCTTGTCCATGAAACAGTATATTTCTAAATGGTGATAGACTGATCAAGAAATGTTCTGTAGACATTAAATGATTCTTCATGAGTATAATTGAGAAAGGACATGATGAAGAAAATATAAGTATTTAGGTTCTGAGACTTCTCAATCCAAAATTCAATTCCTGTAACAGTAGCAACATCATAAACTAAGACTTAGCTCTATATCATAGGCACTTGATAAAGAAATATTTATTGAATCCCCCCACAAAGGATGCCCTCTTCACACTTGGTAATCAAATACTTCATGTCACCAGGGGGCATGGAAAAGATGCATTATCTTCATTTGTGGATAAGGTGACAAATAAGGAGGGAGGAAAAAAGACTGACAGTAACCAAAGTGGTAGATAGGAGATTTAAAAACCACTAAGACCATGAGATTCGCTCAGCAGACCCTTCTCTGATTATGGTATTTTAGAGTCAGCATTCGAAGGGCTACCCACATGGGCATAGTAGAATCAGTGGAGCAACCATGTTTTGCAGAACTCACAGATGGGTAGATAAATGTTCAAATGAAGTCACAGTTCCTCAACCAGTTTTTAAAAGCTACGCTAAAACAGGAGTGAATTGCAGAGGTCCAGCTGCAGCTCCTATAGGAAATGTGCAGATAATAAGACAGCATCTTAAGGAATCACAATAGAGAAACAGCCTTCTCTCCCTACACATGGACCCCTTAGTGTGCTTCTTAGTGATATAAGAAGCAGAATAGTTCTGAAAAGATCTGTAAAAGAACTGAAAAGATTTTTAAAAATCTGTAAAAGCTCTCATGCAAAAGCTGCTTCTAGCCAGAAAGTAATACAAGAGTAACTGAAATTGAAATCAGAGCCTTTGATGTAGTGTTAAAATGCTATGAGAACACAGGAAAACAAAGCCCCTCTTTAAGAAAAGTAATAGTGGAGGATTTTAAAGTCCCTATAAGCGTAAGAAGTACTTTACTGAATTCAATCGCAGGACTCTTTGAGGTGCTAAAATAATTTTCTTTTGGAGTTTTTATACCTGAGAACATTTTGATCAGATTCCTTACTAAGTGACAGAAATGAAATCAATGTTTGAGGAAATACAATTTTATCAGTATTTTCATGGCTTTATAAAGAAGCAGGAAGAATTTGGCAGTTGATTAATTAATCCTATTGTAAAGACTAATTCACATGTATAAAGGGTGGTGACCACAAAAAGAATGATATATTAAGATTATGTGAAAAGAAGTTTTGAAATGATAGTTTCGAAATGATGCTTTGTGAGCTATTAAAAAAAATTATACATATACCACAAGTCTTTGGATAACAAAACAAACATACTTGAGATTGATGTCCTTGAAGAACTCAGACGCATAAGAATTCAGAATGTCTTCAGATGGGTGTGATCCATGAATACTGACAAGCAGTAGTGCATTTGACAAACACAGCCAGGGATCTCTGATTTCTCTCTAATATCAACTTCTTTTTCATGTGAACCAAGGGAGCTTACAGTTAAGTTGGTTACACTTAAACAGTTGTGGATATAAATACTAGCTCCGCTGCTTTCTAACATTATGAAATTGGGCAAGTTACTATATCTTTCTAAGCTGCAGAATGAAATGGGAATAAAAAATTTCCAGAAGTTTTACATCTTTATTAGGAATACAGTGTCCATTATTTTACTTTAATGTCTTTTTAACTTTTTGATGTACTCTGTGGTGGTAAAATGCTTTTGTTGTCATATATATTTGTACTCTGTTTTCTAAGTCGAATTATCAAAGACAAAAGCAACTGTCCTTTCCCTCCACAAGTCGTTTATCCAAGTTGTCTCTGTCTTCCAGAATCCCCTACTTTGAAACTAGTGCTGCCAATGGGACAAACATAAGCGAAGCAATCGAGATGCTCCTGGACCTGATAATGAAGCGAATGCAACGGTGTGTGGACAAGTCCTGGATTCCTGAAGGAGTGGTGCGATCCAACGGTCACACCTCTACAGATCAGTTAAGTGAAGGAAAGAAAAAGAGTTCATGTAGCTGTTGAAAAGTCAAGTGAGCTACACAATAATTCAAGTGGCCCATGTCTATAATCTTCTCTATGGGTGATACATGGCACACAGAGAGATTAACGGGTGTTGTGTACAAACTGCTACTCACCATCCCAATTAGACCTATCACTAAAGTATCCAGTTTTAAAATTAATTTGCTACAGCTTTGTAAATATTTCTTTAAGATTCAGCCTGAGAGTTAAGAGAAATATTACACATAGCCGAAAGTGCCTTGTATAACCTTAGCCTATGGCAGTAGATCATCATCTAAGGATGCAGGATTTTGTAGCCACAGAAGAATGGATTTATTATGAAGAATGACTGAAGATGCCATCACCTGCCTTAATATAGATAGGCCCAGTGTCTTACATTCAAGATCTTAGATGTAATTATAAAACTATTAGTCTTTAATCCAGATTTTAAAATCCTACTAATGCCATAGGTGACCTTCTAAAGTGCCATCTAAACCACTTGGATATTAAATAAGAATATACACATCGATTCAGTATTTTTGAGTATTAATTTATATAAGCATTCTCTTTAAAATGAATGTTGGACAAATTATGGCTCTATCGATAGACCCTGGATATACTGGATTGACCAATTATACATTCACTATGACTCCTGTTGGTAGGAAAGGGACTTGGGGTGAGAGCAGGGGTGGCTCAATGAGCAACTGAAGTGGGGCTTCTGGCTCCCTGCTGTATTCTCATTGTTCTGAAGGTTTGATTGAAGGGTCAGGGAACTAGATTTTCATCACTCTAGTTCACTGTGATCTGTGCATTTATATTTGGCCTACGTGCTGGCCACATCTGAACATAGCTGGTGCTTATGCTAAAGTTATTTGTGATAAGTAAACATTTAACTTCTTTTTCTTCATATTTATAATGTTGGTCTGGCATCCTTAGACTGCAGTTTCAATTAGCAGGTGGACTAATCTCTCTTCATCATCAGGCCCTGTATTGTTGATATTTGCAACTTGTTTTATTTTTACATTGGTGAAATTGAAGGAATTAGTTTTTAATTACGTAAATGTCTGTTTGCTATTTAGTGGAAGGTTGATGTTTGTATTTAAGCAGTTATATTTGTATGCTAGCTCAATATCAGAAAAATGAAGTGTTCTATAGCCTGTATTTTTCATTGAGATGATGGGCATTTATTCTACTTGCTGGGTCTTGCCAAGGTCATGTATTCTTCTGCATTGCCAAAGTGTCTTCATACCAAATTAAGGTGGTTTTAAAATATGCTTCATGGCAGTTTGTAAAGGTCAAATGGGAAAATTCTTGTTTATTAAAGTGATTTAAATATTAAAATTTACAAAAGCTTAATGGCTATTTAGGAAGAAATACATTATAATTTAAGTAAAGAATAAAAATAAATGTGTTTCGTGGTGGCAAATGTTTGGCAGAACTATAATTAGTAAAATACAACTATGATGGAAAGCAAGTACTTTTACATGATTATTTTCAAATCGCTTTTTATTAAGCATCTACCCTGTTTGCCACTACCTCTCATAATTCCCTTAAAAAAATCGGCTGTGGTTACTAAGATCTTAACATATGTCAATCCTTGAAATGAGACTTCTTTTAAATACTAAAGAAGTCATTGAGTTCTATTCATTAGAATTGTATATTCTAGTGAGGAAAAAATTCAGCCATTCCAAGGGCAGATTCAGTGGAATAAATTCTAACTTTACAGCTCCATATCAGGGAACATTTTATATGGTCTTTTTGTGTAGTTAAAAAGAAGACAATATTTGTATGTTTGTTTTTTCAAGAACCAAATGAGCTATTAGCTACAGATTCCATTGACCTTAAATGTAAAATATGATTAAATGTGTATACATGATACAGTGCATATACAAGAACCACCTTTAATTATTGAAATAAATAACCAGTATTCCCTTTGGAAATCCTTTTTTAAAATTTGTTATTGAAGTACCATATTTTTGTGTGTCAATGTATTTTTCTATTTACAAGCCTATGTAAAAGTGAAGTGTATCTTCAATGAACTGTATACCAATTAAGCTTATAATAAAATAGTGGTGTAGTCTGTCAAGTTTGTATTTGCACATAACTTCATTTCCCACTACAATAATGTATCAAACTAGAGGTCATAATACTAAAAGAAACAAAATTTAGGGACACAAATTCCGTTAGGTCCTTGATGTGGGGCCAGCCAAGACAACATAATCTTGAGAAAGTAGTTCAAATCAAAGTTTATTGTCAAACATTTATGGAGCACTTACAGTGTAGGAAGTGTTATACTAGCTAATCTCAGATGAACAAAACAAAGATGGTAGGGGCCTGAACAAAGATTGAATCTGAGAGACGAAGCAAGGGACATTGTGAAAGGTATATCAATTGATTGGTGAGAAGGGAATGGGGTGATGGACTCTGACCTCATTTCCTACCACTGTGCCCCTCACTCACTCATTCTGAAGGCACATTAGCCTCCTTGGAGCAGTCCCATGTGCTCCTGGCTCAAGAAAATTTGCTGTTCCCTCTGTCTGGAATGCTAGTTTTCCACATATCTGCATGGCTCTCTCTCCCACCCTTTAAAGTTGTTCAAATGTCACCTTGTCCAAAAGATCTTTACTGCCCACCTGATAGACTCCCCTTCATGGCCTCAACCAGACTGTTACTTTCTAACCTGTTATACTGCTTTGCTATTGTACATGTCACTCAGCATGCCCTGATATATTTATTTGTTTGTCTCCATCCACTAAGGTATAAGCTCCAAAACTGTTTTGCCACTACCCAGAAAAATGCCTGGTACATGAGTGGTACTCAAATGGTTATCAGTTGATTGAATAAAGTACTTAAGAGGCAGCAGGGTCAAGTTAAAGAGTTTTCAAAATAGAACCTACTATTAATGTCCAAAGACAGAAGAGTAGAATTTGAGAAAAAGATAGCTTCAAAATGTTTTGAAAGGCTCACACGTACTAAATCTTTGTTGGTTTGTTATGAGACATTAGGAAATCTGAGAAGTCGAGGTTAAGGTAGTTAACAATCTATTTAAGAAATGTTCAATAAGGAATGTTTGGCTTGGCATTTTTATAAATGAGAAATCTCGATATGGAATTTCCAGGCTATTTTTTGCAATATGGGTAACTAACTATATAACTGAAAAAAGATTTCACTATAAAACACTTAGATGATGCTGAATACAATATAATGAACATATTCTTTAACTGTATTGTTATCTCTCAAGAAAGTAAGGGAATACCCTAAGACCATCTCTCTCCCCCACAAAACTACAGCAGCAGCAACAGAGGGAACAAACAACAACCTGACACTGAGTGTGGTTTGTTTTGGGTTTGGTTTTGACAGTATCAGTGATCAAGGTGCTTTGTTTTAATGGCTACATGCCGTTAGGAGAGAAAGCCTTGGATTTGTGGAAATAGGGCACTGGAATGGAAAGACCTCAAGAAATTGACAAAAACATTAACATAAAAAGTGCTTCGTGGTTTGTGATATTTCTGGATTACTTGGTAGAAGAAAGTAAAACATTTTCAGAGGGAAAATCTCCATCCAGACCTTACAATTCTCACAGAAAACGCCCTACTAAGCACGAACTCACAATTTAAATTGATAATCCATTCCTTCCCCACCCACTCAGCCCCAACCATGAGCAAGGACCAATAAACCAGAAATAGTAGGATTTGGCACTTGAGAACTTCAAGTAATACACTTACCAGATGGAAACCATAAAGTAAAAAATGTTTAAAATAATTGCAAACATAAAAAGAATTGAAACATCTGGGGAAAGAAGATATTATTAAAGATATAAGACTGATTTGAATTTAAAAAATGACTTCCACCTACGGAAAATATAGCCATTGATATTAAAAACTTAACGGTCAGAAGTTAAATGGCAAGCTTGACAGAGTTGGAGTATTGGTGAACCAGAAGTTAAGCCAGAGGAAATTATACAGAATTCAGCAGAAAGAAATACAGTTAGTATGAGAGAGGTTATGAGATGTAGAGGAAAGATAAATGCTTCAACTTATGTCTAATAGGAATTCTATACAGAGAAATTAGAGAAAATAAAGGAAGAGGCAGTATTTTGAAAAGCAAATAGCTGAGAATTTTTTTAGTAATGATAAGAGACATATACTTTCAGATTCAGGAATCATAATTCTCAAGCAGGATAAATGAAAAGAAGTAGTATTTCCAAGATTTCAGTTCAATTTATTGGGTGTGGAACACGTTTTTCTCTCCTTTCTCTTGTATTCTATTATAATAATTGAAAAAGAAAAAGATTTCTAAGACTGGCTATTCACCCATTCGACCTAAAGTGAAGCACCAAGTATGCTAATAGGCTGAAAGGAACAAAGTCTCAGATGAAGTGTAGGGTATGGGATTAAAAACACGGATAAGGGATGTGGACTCTGACATTGAAAGTAAGAGGGTGAAGCTGAGTGATCATGTAGATGAGAAGGGCAGGAAATTTCTTGTTCAAGAATAAAACTGAGAGACTTGTGAAGAATCTGTGTAAAGAGCTTGGAGAGACTGGTGAAGTTCTGTAATTGTTGAGGGGATAAGAAAGAAGATTAAACAAGGGTAAAATAATTTTCGGTCTCTTGGTTGACAATGAAGTGTTGGGCGAATGTTTATTACTAAAATTTCTGGTATGTTCCTTTGTTATTTAAAATTATTCTCGAATTACTGGTCAAATGATTAAACAAGAGAAATAAATGTAAAACTAGATAAAAGGAAAAATTATATATGCATATGCAGATTACACATACTGCTTCTAGAAATCAAGTGAAAAAATAAACTGTGAAGAATAGCTTGAGAAACAACGAATAACAAGGCTAAAGAGAGAAGGAAGGGGGAGGACTACAGGTAAACCCAGTCATTTAAAAAAAATTACAATAATTTAAACATTTTATGACAGGCACATAAAATAGATGAATCAAACAAATCAGAGAGTCCAGAGGTAGACCCATAGAGAAGTAACATTTTGAATTAGTTGAGGAAACAATGCCTTATTCAACATATAAGGTTAGGGCGGAAAACTCCAAATTGGAATCCTATGTTATTATTTACACTTAAGTAAATTCCAGAGTAACTGAAAATTCAAATGTGAAAAATTATACTATAAAAATAATGAAGAAAAATTATGAAAAACAATTTTGAACAGAGAAATGCAGTTCCAAGCAAAAAAAAAACAAACCCAAACCATGAAAGATGGGATAAATTTGGATACATACAAATATAACATCTCCACAT